TGCCCACGGCGCGCGGGGAGGGGCCGCCTGCGCCCCCGGCTCGGGCGAGGGGGCCCGCGGGCTGGGGGCCCGGGAGGAGCGGAGCCCCCCGCCCCCTTGCGCGCGCCGCCCGGCCCCCCCGGGGGGCCTCCCGCCCTGGGCCGCGGGGGGGGCCCGGCCAGGCGAGCGCCCTCCTTCCGCGGCCGCAGCGCGGCGGACGCTCCCGCAAAGGCCGGGCTTCCCTCGGGGACGGTGAGCAGCACGAGGGGGGCAGCCGTGCAGAATGCGTCCCCTCGCCAGACCGGGATATTCGTAATCTCGCTTCTAAATATTTTGACATCTGGCCTGCATGAATATCATATTGCATCACTTAATCTTGAAAAAATAGCAAACGGGTGAATCATCCTTCACCGTATTTCCATACGTTCTTCCCTTCCCCACATGTGTCATCTTTTGCACCGTCTAATTGTAGTGCATTAAGTTAATTTCATTTGCTCACTTTACGTGGGCCAATCATTGTGGGAAACGGCTGTTGATACAAAGCTCCCCTGATTTGATTGTTTTCCCTGTGCCTCTAAGCGTCTGGCTGCCTAACTAAAGTATTTTGTTAATGTGGTAAGGAGGTGTTAGTGAGGTAAGAGGAAGTTCTGGATTTTATATATTTTGAGGAGACTGTTTAGGTAGTACAAGATTTCTCTTAAAAAGCAGAGATGTTCCTAGCTTGCCCCTGCCCCCCCCCCAGTGGTTTGCTGTGTTTTGTCTGGCTACGGGACCGGCCCTGTGGCTCTCTCCTTCCCCGAGGGTCATGCAGACCGTGTGAACACAAATATGAAAAGCAGTTAGTGGGAACTGCAGAAGGAAACTGGGTGTAAGTGAGAATGGAAAGACTTTTCTTCCCGGAGGCTAGCTTTGCCTCACCTTTCCCAGAAAAACCAGGTGGGGTTGGCAGAGGAGAAGCTGTGAGGAATGGAGCGAAGTAGCAGCTTCCCCAGGAGGTTGAACCCAAGCCAGGGCCCTTCCGGGGCTTCCAGGCACTGTCTGCTTGGCCTGAGCTAGTCCCAGACTTCAGGGTCTCTGGGGATTGGTAGTGCCCTGTGTTAAGCAATCGGCAGCACAGGCTTTGTCCTGGAAGGCTTGGAAAAGGGAGCCTGGAACCCAAGCCGAGCGGGGAGTCAAAGGGCCCAGCATTCCCAGCAAACTGTCCCTCAGTGGCCTTGGTGATCCCACAGGCATCCCAGCAGCTGGAGGGGGGGGGCGGATTTTGCTGAAGGAGAGAGCCAAACAAACGGGGGCAGAGAAAGGTTCCCAGTCTGGAATCTGCCCTTGCTGTATCGCTCTGGGCAGCTGCAGGGCCAGCCGTGGCCTCCTCCTTACCTGGGCTGAGGTGGGATGTTTGCTCTTTTGGAATTCCTGGGGTAATGAGGTTGCAGCGCCCGCTGGGATTCATTGTCGGCTCCCCCAGCGGGACATTCCGCTCCCGCTCTGGCCGCCTTTGGCCTTTTCCTGTTTATTCCCAGAAAAGCCCTCGGCGCAGGGCTCTCGCCTCTGGTTAAGCGCCGAGATCAGGGGACGTCACGGATGCTCCTCGCTCTGCCTTCGCATTCCTGCGATGGGAGTCATCTGCAGGCTAGAATTAACGGCCCCTTGCCAAGGGTGCAGCGTGATCTCAGAGGTGAAGGCATTTTTGCAAGCTTTATTTTCTCCCACGCCAAGGAGCCGTCACCTTGGGTGGCTCGACAGCAGCGGCGCGCAACCGAATGACCGACGGGTGAAGCCCGGCAGAGGCTTTGTCCGCCTGTTGCTGGGAAAGGGCAACTTGCGGGAAAAGTGCCATCTCTTGTGCGATTGGGGATGTGCTCGAGGGAAGGTGATGCCGGGAGCCCCGCTTACTCAGGCGATGGCAGCTGGGCGCCTGCGGCGGATCTGTCAGGGAGGAACTCTGGCTCCCTTGCCGTATTTATACTCCCTGACACGGCGTGTTGGCCACACTTGGTCTCCGGCAGCCATTGCGGGGGGGGGGGGCTCTTCCGCCATCCCTGAAACGCCCGGGCTGCAAGTGTGCGAGGAGCCGAGCGTGCTTGAGTGGGGGCCGCCAGGCCCCGCGAGGCAGCCGGAGTTCCTGAGCATGTGTGGTGTGTCTTCCTTCCCCAGGGAGGAACTGGAGCCCCCCCACCTCTGGATGAAGGCCTGGGAGCAGGTGGCTCGAGCTGGGCTCCCGCCTGGCACCTCTGGCTAAGAGGCGCAGCCGAGCTGCGGGCCGGCCGTGTGGAGGAAGGCGCCCCTCCTCGAGCCTGCGCGGCCCAGAGGGGCTGGCGCTTGGCCCCGTGCCCGGCGGCGGGTCGGCCTTCACGGCCTCCGAGGAGCTTCCTCCGCCCATTGAGCCTCCATGCTCCCCAGGCGTTCGCCTTCCTGTTGCGAGGAGGAGATGGGGAACGGAGGGGAGGGAGCGGGCCTCGTGGCGGCCACTTCACCCCTGGGCCGTTGGGCGCTGCGTGGGGAGGCTCCCGTATCGTGGGCGTCGCTGCTAGCCCGGTCCGCCGGCCCGTCCGCGGGGCCGCTGGCTGCAGGCCCCCTTGGGAGGTGGGGCAAGGTGCGCGAGAGGGAGAGGACGGGCGTGGGGGCGCCGGGGGTCCCGGCGTGGGCCGCGCGGCACTGCACGCGGGGGCGCTTGAGCAGGCCCAGCAAGGCAAAGCTTCCCACCCGAACGCCGTGGAAACGGTTGCCGCGCAGGGTGCCAACGGCCCCCCTTGAGCAGCCCCACTGGGGGCCGGGCAGACTCCTGGGTGAGCGGCTGCCGGTCCCAGGGGCTCTCGGCTGCCTGCGGGGCCAGAGCCAGCAGGGCACCCGTGCTTGCCTGTCCCGGGGGCGGGGGGGAGGGGGCCCTTCTGCCTGCCCTGCGGGGGCCTCGGCCTGGGGACGGACTGCTGCCCTAGAGGCGCCCCCGGGTGTGGCCCAGTGCAGCTCCCCCCCCCTTGCGGTGTGGGCCCTGCGTGGAAATGGGAGCCGCGCGGCTGTTGTTGCAGTGCTTTATTCTCAACACTGTCGGGGTCACCCGCTGCGGCGGGCAGGCGGGCGGCAGGCGGCCAGGTGCAGCCCCGACGCCCGGCGGGTGGGGCTCATTGGTGGAAAGTCAGTACTCGCATTTGGAGCTCCTCGTCCCTCGTCCCACCCCCGGCCTGCAAGGGGGGCAGCGGGAGCACCAGGGGCTGCCGGCAGAAGCTGCTGCTCTTGGAGGAGAGCGGGGTGTCCAGCGTGAGCGAGGCGCTGGCCATCTCCTGCGGCTTGGAGCTGGAGAGGAAGCGCACCAGGGTGGAGAGCGCCTTGGCCACGTCGCCGCGGGCCCCCTCGTTGGCGAAGCAGTAGAGGATGGGGTCGGCCACGCAGTTCAAGCTGGTGAAGGCCAGCGAGGTGTGGTAGGCCACGAAGACCTGCTCCTCGAAGCTGCAGTCGCAGGGCTTGCTCAGGTAGACGGCGCTGCGGGAGAGCAGGATGACGTGGTAGGGCGCGAAGCAGAAGAGCAGGATGGCGATGAGGCTGAGCGAGAGGCGCTTGATCTTGGCCTTCTCCTGCTTCTCCGTGGAGACGTTCCCCCGCACGGCGCACAGGATGCCCCGGTAGGAGAGCAGCATCAGCACCCACGGGAAGAGGAAGCCGATGAAGACGCGATAGAGGTTCATCCAGGCCACCCAGCCCTCCATGGGGTACTTCTCGAAGCAGAAGGTGTGGTTGTAGCGGTCGTGGAAGAGCTCGTCGTGGAAGAGGGGCGCCGAGTTGGCCCCGATCTCGATGGCCCACACCACCGCGCTGACGGCCACGGCCGTCTTGACCCGCCGGAAGCCGGCGAAGCGCAGCGGGTGCGCCACGGCCAGGTAGCGGTCCACGGAGATGCAGCACAGGAAGGCGATGCTGACGTAGATGTTGGTGTAGAAGATGAAGCCGAAGACCTTGCAGGACTCCTGCCCGTGGATCCAGTTGTCGTGGTGCAGGAAGTAGTCGATCCAGAGGGGCAGCGTGGCGATGTACAGCAGGTCGGCGACGGAGAGGTTCATCAGGTAGACCCCGAGCTCGTTCTTCTGCCTGATCTGCAGGTAGGCGGCCCAGAGCGCCATGCAGTTGGTGGGGAGCCCCATGACGATGACGATGGTGTACAGCGTCGGGGGGAAGAGGTGGTCGATCTTGGAGTCCACGTGGCAGCTCAGGGCCACGAGAGTCGTGTTGCACATCCTTGGGGTGGGCGCGGGGTGGCTCCCCCTGGGAAGCCCGAAGCGTGGCAGCCCCAGCTCAGACCAGCCGCCCGCAGGGCCGAAAGGGGTCCGTCCACAGGACCGCGCAGGCCATCCCAGGGGCGCTTCCGGAGCAGGCATGCAGCAGGGTCTCCGTCGGTCTGGGCTAGTGGCTCGCCTCCGCCTGGCCGCTGGCCGCGCTCGTCAGCTCGGTCGGCGCAGGGGCGCTTTCTCAGGAGCACTGCTGGACCTGCGAGGAGAGGAGGAGACGCGCATTGGGGTTCGGGGGCGCTGCAGGGCAGCCCCTCACCGACACGTGGCGCCTGCTGCCGTGCCCTTCCCCAGGTGGGCCCCCTCCGGGGCTTGGGGCTCCAGCACACTGGGAGCTGCAGTCCAAGCCTCCGGAAGGCGCCCGGTTGGGCCGTCGGCCCAGCCATGCGTCCCTTCCACCGAGGGCAGCGGGAGGCCTCCTCTCGGACGAGGCCGGGGCTGCACTGCCCCGGGTTTCCCTGGGACCTTCAGCCGCGGCATCTGCCCTCAGGGACATCTGCCTTCCTCCGGCCAGCGGCCCCTGGCTTTGAGAGAAGCAGCCCAGCGCAGCCCACGCCGGGCAGCAGAGTGAGCTGCCCAGCTGCCCCCACACCTCCCCTCCGTTCAACCGTTCTCGGAAGACGCCTCCTCGTGCCCCCCGACGGTCAAGAGGAGGCTGGCAAGCAGAGGGGATGCCCGTGAGGGAGGCTGCAGGGGGGACGGGAGCCGCAGCCAAAGCCCTGCGCTCGAGAGGAGGCGGATGCCCGGCCGGGCAGGTGAGGCGCCCGCAGGTGAGCTGGGGCAGGCGGCCGGCGCGTCAGGCGGGGGTGTCGCAGGCCGCTTGATGAATATGCAGCGCGTGCCTCGTGTCGGCAGGGCTGTGGCCGTGCGAGGGGTCCGGTCTCTCGGCCGCGGCTGGTCCCAGGGTTTCCGACGTGTGCAGGTGGCCCATCCCCGTGCCCCGTCCCTTCCCCCGCCCGGCGGCCTGTTTTTTTTAAAAAAAAAAGGCGCCCCCCCCCCCCCCCCCCCCGTGAGTCAGGCACTTGGCAAAATATCCTAGTAAGCGTTTCTGAGCTGTTCGACCTTAACTGTGGAGGCAGCGGCCTGGCCAAGCGCTTCCTCGTTTTTGTTTTTTAAACGTCCTGCACATGGCTGTTCAAGCCGCATGTCGGAAAGGCGGCTTCGGGCAAGCCCTTTACTGGGTGCGCCACACCCCGGGGCTACTGCGGGGTTTCTTCGCCTGGCACACCGAGTTCTTTACTGGGAGAAGTGGGGAATTTATGGGTGGACATGTATATTTAGAATGGTTTCTGTGCAGGTACTTAAGGTGAACCTGGGATGCGCCGGAACAGATAGAGGGAAGCACCTGGCCACTTCTCTTGGACCGGCCGGAAAACCGAGCAGACCCCGTCCCAGACGGTGTGGGTGAAGACAGCTGAATTTGGCCACCGGGGGGGGGGGGTGAGGAAGCCGCCCCGCAACCCTACAGCAGACCCTGGGTTCTGCGTGGCCCAACAGCAGCCTTCGCGGGGTTCGGATGTCACGAGAGCACAGAGGCAGGCGGTCCGTATGCAGCTGCAGCTCCCTGGGCGCTCTCAGGCTGTACAAACCTGGTCCCTGAAAGGGCCCCAAAGCTGGGGCGGTGGCCCCTGGCGCAGGTCGGCAGATATGGGGCAGCAGCGGGCTGCTGGAGGCCGCTGGCAGTTTGGGGCTTTAAATGTCAAAGGGAAGGCTTGGAACTGAGCCTGAAAGCACGGCGGCGAAGCGGGCGAAGGCGGGTGCAATTTGACCTGGCGTGCCGGCACTAATCGGACCCTGGCTGCCTGATTCTGAGCCAGTCGGCTTCCAAGCCGCCTTCAGGGCGCTCTTCTTTGTAGCCTTCTGAGCATGCACAGAACGCACACCCCCAAGGCCAAGCGCCCAGAAGCTCCACCTCAGGACTGACCACCAGTCTGCCGCCGCAAGCGTTAATTTTGTAATTAACTCCCTTCTCAAAGTGCGGCGTGTTGAATTTCTGTACAAAGGGCTGCTGAAAAATTGATGCTGACCTTTCTGGGTGCTTAATCCCTCTGGCTGGAGCTGAAGGTCACCCAGGGACCCCCGTCCCCCCAACACGATTCCCCGGATCTCTCCTGCCAAGCTCTAAAGGGCAACGAACAAGGCCGACACCGGCTGCTGCCGGCGCAGCGGGGCTCCTGCAGCCCCACCCAGGGTGCTGGCAGGAGCGGCCACGCTCCGTCTGCCTTGCATGAAAAGCCCAGCCAAGTGCAGGGTGTAGATACGCCCCGGGCTTGGGACCCGCCTCCCCCGCACAGCCCTCCCCCGGCCAAGCCTTTCTGCCAGCAAGACTCCAGGGGGGAACTGGTGGCAGGTCGGGGTGGGGGGCACCGTAACTGTGCCTGCGTCCAGCTCCCTGGGGCGCGGTCCATTTCGGTCCGGTCCCTGCACAAGCACCGAGGCAGAGCAACTAGCGAGCCCGAAAGAGGAGGAGATGATGCCCCTCGGAGGGGGATTCCGCCCCCCGCAGGTGGTGCCCGGCTCAACCCCCATGCGCAGGACCTCGGGAAGAGCTTGGAAGTTACGCGGTGGCGGGGAGAATGGGTGTGTGTGTGTGTGTGTGTGTGGCTTCCCATCAGTTTGAAATCAATAACAACAGGCGGTGTCTACACTGTAAACAAGCCTGTCTGGGTGCTGCCCCGGCCTTGGATGCCCCCGGGCCCCTGTGAGGGGCACTTCCGGGGGAGCAGGTGCAGCCGGGCAGTCGCTGCATGCATGCAGCAGAGCTGCCAGAGAGGAGGCGAGTTTTAAGCACTGCCTGCCTGCATTATGCCGTGATTTGAGGGGAAGGGAAGAGAAGAGAAGGCCTGGCAAGAAACGGGAGGTAATTGCAGAGAGAAATTCGATAGGGCCCAAGGAGCAGGACGCTGGGCTGCGGGTTGCCCAGTGCACGAAATGCAGAGGCAGAGAGCCTCTTTGGCTCCCGTCTGCCGAAGGGGGTGAGTCGCAGCCCTGAGCGGCGTTAGGCCGAAGCCCCGCCGGCGTAGCAGCATCCCCACTGCCGCAGGGCCAGCCAAAGCCTGTGGGTCGCCCGTGCGGAGGAGGGGGTGCCACGACCCCCCGCCTGCGGGCCCGCAGCTCTGCCGCCTCTGGCCCCACAGGCGGCCACCGAAGCCTCTCCTCTCCTCCCCACTCGGGCTCCTGCGAGGCCTCTGGCTGTGGGATCGTGGCATGACGGCGCCCAGTGGGGCAGCCGGGCGGAGGCCGGCCCGGGCCCGCTCTCCCCTCGTGGGAGGGTGGCTTGGGGCAGGGCCTCCCCCTTGCCGCCCAGGGACTGTGGCTGGCACTCCCTCCTCCCTGGGCTCGCGGAGGGAGACTCGAACCGGGAACGCCAGCCCTTTGAGGGCGGCCAGCCGGCCAGCCTGGGGCAGCACCGTGCAGAGGCAGCGCCGGTGGCTGTGGCCACCTCCTCGGGCTCGGGGCCAGCCCGGCACGAGAGGCCCGATCCAGCGGCTGCCCAGGGCCCCGGGCGCTCCACACAGTTGAGGTGGGAGGCGAACTGGGGCCGGGCAGCCCTGCGAAGGCCCAGGAAGGTGTGCCCTGCGGCGCCTCGCACCCCCCCCCCCCGGCAGCAGCGCCTGCGCAGCAGAGCATGGCCCCCCCGGCCTGTGCCGGGCGCGTTAATGATTGCCCGGCGGGGCGTGGGGGGGTGCGAGGCTCCAGCAGAAGGAAGCGGGTTGTTACTGTGTAACCAGGCCGAGCAGGCGCAGGGTGGCTGCGGATGCCCAGCGCCAGGGCCGTCCCGTCGGCCGCTTTGTCAGCCGCAGGGGCTAGAAACTTGGCCCGCCAAGCAGCCAAGCCGAACGCCGAGCTTCTCCGAGTGCCGGACTGGCTCGCAAACGCGTGGCTGCGTAGTCGGGGTGCCGGAGGCCCCGATGGGCTTTGCTGAGACGGAGTGCGGCGCTGGAGAAGCCTGCCCGTCACCGGAGGAGGCCAGCCGGGGCCCGAGCTGCCGGGAGGCGGCCGGCTCTCCTGCGTCCCGCCAAAGCCCCCGCGGGTGGGGGGCCGCCCCCTGAACCTGGCCCAGCCCGGTCCCGCTAGTCACCCGGCCGCCCCGGGCATCGGTCGGGAGAGGCCCGTGCCGGGCCATTCTCTTTCTCCGGCGTTTGTGTCGGAATGGGGAGGGCTCCCAAGCCCAGCAGCCTCCTGCCTCCCCCAAGGGCCCCCCCAGAGCCCGAGCGCAGGTGCATCTGTGCCGGAGGCTGGAGGGCCGTGCGGCGCCGAGGGGAGGGCGGGGAGGGGCGAACGGGGCCCGGCCGCCGCGGACTCGCTCTGCTCCGGCTGGGGCAGGCCGGCTTCCTCTTGCGCGGTTCCTGGCCCAAATGCGATTACGCCAGCCTGGGCCACGCTGCCCATCTGCTTTCCCGCGGACTGGACCTCCAGCCAGCAGCTGGCACTTGTCCCCCTCCCCGCCTGAAGGGAGGGGGGCCGCCCCAGAAATCTTCCGGCCTGCCCCTCCCTCCAACTCCCCACAGCCTTCAGTCCACAGGGGCGAGTACAAGTGGGGCTCGCCCGGCCTTAGTCCTCTACGAGGGCAGCTCTCTGCACATGCCCAGAGTGCCATTCCTGCTCCACAGAGTACGCACAGCCAGGAAGGCAGGAAGGAAGGCAGGTGGGGGGGGGCGGTCTTGGAGGCACGGCACGTTCCAAGAGCTGGACTCCAGCATCACTTTCTGGCAGCCAAGGGAGGGGAAGCGGCACTGGCCAGACCTCTCCCTTCTGCGCAGTCGTTCAGGTCGAGGGCCAGCGTGCGCCCCACACGCCCCTGGAGCACTGCCAGCCGGCCTGGCATTTCCAGCGGAGCGTTTTCCCCTCCCCTCCCCTCCCCGTTTGCTCTCTGTGCAGCCCCTCGGCCCCACTCGGGGTTTTAGTGGGAAGGAAAACCGCCAACGCAGCCCAAGCGCCACGGTGGC